TACAAGCCAGTGCTGCTGATTATTTTACAAAACCTGTAGTCTTACATCTTCAGCAGTAATGTTTGTGCAGAAGACCACAGCAGAATCAGTAGGCCAAACATGTCTAACATATTTAAAAGTAACTCATGGTTTCACGGTTGTTGTTGCTAATGTTATGCTGTTTAACTATCCAGAATGAAAGTGCAATTTTAGCAATTTTGAAGTGTTTTTTACAATTTTAAAAAAACTTTTAAAATTAGTAAGGGCCCATATGCATTAAACTTGCAAATTAAATGTCATAAAAGACACCCTCTGCTGAATTCTTCAAACACACAGCTCTCCTACCGTGGTTCAGATCTGTAGAAATAAAAAAAAAAGTTAATTTATCAAGTTATCACTTTAAATGAAGAAACTCCCCAACCTCCAGTCAAATGGAGAAAGCAATTAATGTACATCAGTTTTTTCTTAAGGCAATTAACTTTAAAAGAGTGCTTTATTGAGTTGTTTTATGCTTAGCAAAAATACAAGTGTCGTAAAAGAACAAGTATATTATCACAGAAAGCAAAAGCTCTGGAACACTAATAGTTGTTGAAATAGATACAGTAGTTATTCTATATCCCAAGCTATAGCACTATACTTTTTTCTGAAAGTAAAAATAAGCCCTTCCCTAATTTTTGGAAAAAACAACTGTGAACCATTACAGTTATAGATGTGTACAAATGTGCTTATTTTCTGTCTATTTTAAACTTAACTTATATTAATAATAAATGTAATGTATATGAAAGACTGGGGTCAATTTTAAAGAATGGAGGAGACGTTCCTGTATATAGAGTATTAATTTGACTCGTGTGATTGTAAATGAGTCAGGACCAAGAATAGTAATCCTTGTTCTAATGTGGAGCACACATGATGCAGTCTGCCAGGTATGGACCCCTCAATCACGTTATAATGTTATATCAGTGTCGCATCTGTTGTGTAACTGGGAACTGTGGCCTGATAACATAACCAAGAACTCAGTGCTTTGGAGACAAATGTCTTTACATAAGTGAGTTTTTCGCATTCCCATGGTTGTGTGCATTCTGAGGTACAGCAGTAAAAGCATTCTGCAAAAGGCACTTTTGTGATGTTCTTATTTACAGTGCCTTGTAAAAGTATTCGCTCCCTTCTAGCGGTGCCCTATTTTAAGACGTCCTCAAAATGCAACATCACTGGACAGAGGTGGATGCTCCCGCAAGGTGCTGTTGTTGTGAGTTGTTTTCTTTCTCTCTCAGAGAAGATGATCAGCAGTGAGGCTTTAGAAGGCGTTCCTCTCCTGGTGTTGGCCAATAAGCAGGACGTGGAGGTGAGTCTGCTACACTGCCTGCAATTCTGTGTTCGGTGTGAATGGCCAACCAGGAAACAGGACATCGCAGCCAGAGCCGGGACCTTGGTGGGGTGATCAGAGCAGGGGAGCAGGGCCTGTGCCTCCAACCCGACCCAATGGAGATGGGCCAAAGTGCTTCACAGTCAGTGTTTCGTACGTGTCTTGGCTGTGATGGACTTTGCTCCAGCTGGCACTGCGCTGATAGATTACCCTTTTCTAAGGAAGCCTTAGTTCTTTCAGTGATTTAGAGACCCCCAGCTTCGGTATTCCAGCTCCTCTCCAGACTGAGAGACCCCCAGCTCCAGTATTCCAGCTCCTCTCCAGAGCTGAGACCCCCAGCTCCAGTATTTCAGCTCCACACCAGTGCTGAGACCACCAGGTCCAATATTCCAGCTCCTCTCCAGACTGAGAGACCCCCAGCTCCAGTATTCCAGCTCCTCACCAGAACTGAGACCCCCAGCTCCAGTATTCCAGCACTTCTCCAGAGCTGAAAGACCTCCAGCTCCAGTATTCCAGCTCCTCTCCAGAGCTGAGACCACCAGGTCCAATATTCCAGCTCCTCTCCAGACTATGAGACCCCCAGCTCCATGTTTTCCAGCTCCACACCAGTGCTGAGACCTCCAGCTCCAGTATTCCAGCTCCACACCAGTGCTGAGACCCCCAGCTCCAGTATTCCAGCTCCACACCAGTGCTGAGACCCCCAGCTCCAGTATTCCAGCTCCACTCCAGAGCACCAGAGTCGGCTTTAATCAAGCTCCCCCCCAGCTCCAGCTCTGGTACAAGCCAGTGCTGCTGATTATTTTACAAAACCTGTAGTCTTACATCTTCAGCAGTAATGTTTGTGCAGAAGACCACAGCAGAATCAGTAGGCCCTATGGGTTAGCGTAAACTGTTCCATGTACATCTGGACACATTATTTTACAATATTTCCTGTGCTGAGTTACTGTAGCTTTTGCTATGTACATTTTTTGTCTTTCCTCAAAGTCTGAGTTTTGCATTGGAAACGTTCTTTGGTTAAATTCTAAAATGAACTATGCCAATCGGATAATACTGCAGAAGTTGCTACCAATACTGCAGCAATTGGAATCTCTGCACATTTTTTCAAAGAACAGTTTATATCAATTGTCTCCACCAGGGGGAGACTTTTCCTAATCTAAGATGCATGGAGACATGTGAAGCTAGGCTGTGTAAGATAGTTTCAACAAAGGAGATTGGGCTGCACACTGGTGTGGCTGCTTCCCCAGAGCTCTAGGATTCTGGAGGTTCTGGGATTGGGCATCTTCTGTGTGGAATTTGCATGGGTTCTCTGGTTTCGTCCCATGTTGGTGGTAGGAAATCTAGTTAAATTGGTGTCTCTAAATTGTCTTGCTAATTCACTCACAGTCGAAAGACATACCAGCTTTGTTTGATTGGCTGTGCTAAACCGTCTTTCCTGGGCTTGATCCCTGTTCCTATTTCACTGACTCAGAGTGGCTCGAATTTCTGCATCCCTGTTGCACACACAACAGATAAGACAAATGGGATAAACAAGTGTCAATAACAGGGCATTAAAATGTACATTCATGCAGTTACATCTTGCCTTTGGTCCACAAATGGAAACCGTATAACAATGGTGAACAAGAGGGAGTTCTTCACACAAAGGATTAAGGATATCTGTAATAAACTACTCTGCCATATTTTTGAGGTTGAAACTACTTTGATTAAAGTCCCCCATTTGCAATTGTTCTTTTGTTCTGGAGTGGCTAAAAATATTCAATATCGTGTATCCATTTCCTCTTAGTGTTCTCGCGACAGAGCACCTGAAGCCACATGTCTGAACTGAGAACTGTGGCAGGGCCTTTTCTAACTTCTTGCAAAACCCCAAAAGCTGCATTAGGTCAGTAGCACATGAAATGGTGGGAATTAAATCAGGAAATGGTACATGCACAGTAGGAATTAACAGGCGCCTCATTAGAGTTTACTATACTACTACTACATTAGAGTCTACTATAGGACACACAGGTGAAAACAGGGAAAATTGAGCTACAGCAAGACACAAGGTATAGGAATTGCATAGTGCAGTATTACTGTGGGAAAATATGGTGAACTGCAAAATGAGTGGCCGAGTTAGTACTGCAGTGTGTTTGTAAGGCAAATGCGGAGAAGTTCTTTTGCCATATGGTCTTGCATTACGTTGCTTGACCTCAAAGGCATGTCCTACATCGACAGGCTAAAACAACGGAATCGTTTTAGTCCTGAAAACAGATAACCTGCGAGGGGCCCGGACTCAAGTGTTCACAATCCTGACCAGCAAATGACCACGTCCGTCCCGTGAATGTCTTCACAATCAGCAGCCAAACGCGACCTAGAGGCCAAAAATGGGTGTCACGTAGAAGCAAGGCACCCAGAGGCACTTCTCTTCCCAGTGGGGGGGGGGGGGGGGGCGTGGGGAGATGGGAACAAGCCGTCGAGCCTATTGAAAATAAGACAACTTTATTTTGAACCCCTTGCTTTTTTTTTGTCCCCCAGGGCTGCCTGTCGGTTCCGGAAATCAAGACGGCGTTCAG